GAATTCTGGGAGTTGATGTTCATACATCTTAAAAGTTCCCAGGGTTGAGAAACACTGTCCTAGAGCCGTTTCCTGGGCAGACAAAGAGACAGGCCACTTTACCTAGGACTTTCAGTCCTCAGCTGTAGCTTCAGAAACCATTTAGTTTCAAAAATTAAATCTAAAATTTTGCAAGATGACAAAATATCAAGAAAAAGAAAGGCTTAGCATCAATACATAGCAAAGTACTTTTACAGTGACCAAAATATGCTCTGCTTTAAAATCAAGCCATCGCCTTTGACGATGTGGGAATAGTTGTAAAACAATAGCAGTTGTACAAACCTGAATATCTTTAACCTAAAACAGTTTATTTTTTCCTAATGTTTTTCTCTTTGCCCTTTTCTCATTCTAATTAGCTCTACATTGTTCTATAACCAGCCAGGACAATACAGAGATAAGTTCAATTTTTTCCATTTAATTGCTCATTTTAATTAGAGCAATTCTCCAGGTGCTGCCTTATCTTCCAACCAAGTAGCCTCCACAATCCCGCCCAGCTGCAAAGGAATATCTTGTTATATCAGCCATATGCCCGTGATTCAGGAAGCCCTTTTGGAAACCTCTCAGCCATTCAGCCTATTTCAGTTCCAGGTCTTTGACTGGGAAGTGGAAACCCATCCTGGGAGCAAGCTCACACTTTGGTCGGGCTGCAAATATGCCCCTAAATGTCCAAACCAAGAGTGCTGTTTCTTCATTTCCATCTGAAGTAGATGGTCTTTCTATTTGGTCAGGTAGAGGTCTACTAGGGTGGGGTGGGGGTACCAGGATTACTTGGGATTTGGGGAAAGGATTAAGCAGCCTGTTGACTGCCCAAACGTACAAACCCACACACTCAAATGGACCTTCCTTCAGAACTTGCTGAAGAAAAGCATCGGAAGGGATAATATTTTACGTAGCATCCTGCGTGGCCCCAAGAGCTAGAAAATCCATGTCAGTGCCTCCATAGATATGCTTGTGACCTCCATAGATATGCTTTGGACCCCTCAAAAGAGAATTTTTCCTCCCTGGCTATAAAGCTTTAAATAGTCAGTGCTGTTTAAAATTACTGTGAAGTATGGCATTAAACTGTTCACTGAATGCCCCTTTGTGTTAAGCGAGGATTAAAATGTGTGGCTTGATGGCTTGGTTGCTAGTTAAGAATGTCACCACTGAGTTGCCTCGGCTGTGACCGTTTGCTGGTGGATCCAGGGCCTTCAGCCTCCCTCCTCCCCACTGGCACCTTCAGGTGGGAGTCAGACTGCTTGTTGATGTATTAATGAATGACCTTTTAATGTACACATTACTTTTAGACATTGTGCCTTTGGTGTTATGGACAGTAAAAACATTACATATAAAAATAAAACACATAAAATAAAGGCTGCTGATTTTCCATTATGATGGTCTTGCTATCATAGTATACATGGCAATGGCTGCTTGTCATGATGGCTTCCTGTCAGAGACAGAGTGCTTTTGAAGCTCAGCTGCCCCTGGAGGAGATTGGGCAGTTGCATTCTTGTCCTACTGTGATGTTCCACCCAAGTCCTGGGCTGGTCATTGGTGAACTGGACATCTGGGTCTGACCAGCTCGAAGCTTT